TTTTTTTTGTAATTCCTGATTGTGTAACTGCAAGCTCCATTGTAAGGATGTTCTACACTCCGTTTTTGCCACTTTCACCCTCACTTTCGCTAGGTCCCCTCTCCGGATGAACAAAGAAACATGAAAGTCCAAATGGACACTGTCCAGTTGCGTTCAGGGGACATTCTTCCTAGAGAACAAAGCTAAAGAGAAATTTTATCAGAGAAAAACAGAACCCACTTTTTTGAACGGTATCAGATATAAGCCGTGTAATTCGTAGTAAAGACTTTCAGCCATCTTATGCAGTACCGAAATATTCTGTAAAATGTGTAGTATACAATTCGGACAAGCATTCTTTTCTCCACACCTGTTCATTGAGTGGACCTTCCAAAGGTAGCGACGGCCAGTTGATGTTTAAAGCAGGAGTTGTAGGCACCGACGGATTAGATGTAAAGGATGTCGTAGATGATGTATTCTGGCCTACTTTAGCCTAGATACGAAAATTTTGCTCTTGGTAAATACTAAACGCAAAGTATTTGAGAATATGTACGCACCAGCTGACAGATAACACAGCGATCGGGGGGCACAGCCTGTAAGGCTTGTTCTCTTTCGATTTCTTCGCACGTTTTTCCTGGCATAGGAACGGCTCCAGACGTTCCAGAATTACGATAGTGTTCTTTGAATTGTGTAGCGAAAACCTAGAAACCAATGAACGTCATGCTGAGTTCATCCCACTATAGCTCACATTTTGCGTGAATGGTAGCAAATTTTGCGTCTGCTGCGAAAGATACATCCACTGCTGTTGTTCGGGTGTAAACTGATTCATAGAAGGGTCTGGAACATGCACTTCAGCAGAGCCAGGACTTCTTGGAATCTGCAAGCACAATATTAATGAGCAGCACTCAACTCAGTATTCCATAATTTTGCTTGCTTACTGGCGTATACCCTTTGATTCAACGGGATTGGCGGCTGGAAGGCTACCGCTTGTACCCGCGACGCAGTCTGCGTCCTCGCAAGTGAGCTCTGTCATTCCCTAGCCTTAATTAGGCCTCGATCCCGCCTTCCGCCAATCCCGTAGAATCAAAAGGTAGGCTTTATGAGGCCA